CCTTTTTTAATCCAGGGCAGTTGACTACAATAAGCATTTAACAGTTTAGTACTCAATTACCTAGAAATTTTAAGATACTCTTCCTGGAACTAAACGAAGTCAAAATTATAAATGGGACTAATCAGAAAATTACAACAAAATTGTGAAATACAGTAAGTTGTGGCAAAGGTAAGTACCTAATGTTACACAATGAAATAAAATCCAGATAGGTTAAATAATTTAAACGTCTACATATATTTGTATACATTTCAGTGGGCGGAGGGGGAGGGGAACTCTAGATAGGTTAGAAATTTTAAACAAATACAATATAGATTCTATGCTAAAACATTTACAATCTTGATGAAATGGATGATTTTTTTCCAGAAAAAATACAATGATATTGAGAAACAATGAATTCGAGGTTTCTGATTGGCAGTCAGTCATTTGGATGATGGTGCAATTCAGAGAATCTCATGAGCTTGGGTATCTTGGGTGAAAGGAATCTATGGAACATCTGAGTGGAATTTTCTAGCCAACAGCTGGATATTTAAAGCTGCATCTCAGGCCAGGTATCTAGTCTAGAGATCAAGATTTATGACGATTAGCATGTAACTGCATGTGGAAATCATGGGGAACTGATGAAGTTGCCCAGGAGAACGTGCAGCTAAGCTGAAGGCTGCCTGGCAACCATCTTGAGGAGCATCATTTACAAGACAGGCAGAGAAAGAACAGTCCGCAAAGTAGTCTGACATGGCCAAAGAGGTAGGAAGGAAGCTGGGCAGTGTGAGTTCAGGAAGCCAGTGGGTGGGAGGGTTTCTAGAAGTAGAGAATATGAGTGATGTCAAATGTTAACTCGAGGTTAAGATAAGAATGGAAAAGTTCCTGTTGGTTTGGCTAAAATGCTATTGGTGACCTTAGTAATGAGCAATGTTACTATGGTTCTTTCAAGTGTTTAGCAAAGAGCTGCTATCCATGCTATGTAAGATTTATAGAGCATAGGATAAAATATAGAAAACTTCTCAATATAGTTTTCAAAACCGGTATAAAATAAAAATCATAAGTTGGACAGAGCCATACACACAATCCTAGTTATTAATATGGACAATAACTGACACCTGCTTGCTCACCAAGTGCCAGGCACTGTTCTTATTAACTTAATTGATTTAATCCTTGTGCCAGTTGTGTTAAGGAAATATTAATCTGGTATTAATGGCTGAATCTGGTATTAATGGTTATATCTGAATTTAGATATATACCAAGAAAATGATACATTACATCCATGAATTAATGTTTAATTTTGAAATATTAGAAAATATAAAATATAGGCCAGGCATGGTAGCTCATGTCTGTAATCCTAGCACTTTGGGAGGCCATGATGGGTGGATCACTTGAGGTCAGGGGTTCGTGACAAGCCTGGCCAATATGGTGAAACCCCATCTCTACTAAAAATACAAAAATTAGCCAGGCATGGTGCTGCGTGCCTGTAATCCTAGCTACTAGAAAGGCTGAGACAGAAGAATAGCTTGAACCTGGGAGGCGGAGGTTGCAGTGAGCTGAGATCATGCCATTGCACTCCAGCCTGGGCAACAGAGCAAGATTTCATCTCAGAAAAAAAAAAATTCTATATCTGTATGTCTTATATATATATTATATATGTCATATATATTATATGTCATATATTATATATGTCTTATATATTTTATATATATATCTCTTATATATATATAAATTTGGCCAAAGGAGAAAATTCATGTGATTGTGATTTTCTAAAACTCCAAGAAGTCCTGATAACCCTTATTGAACCATGATAAATAATATCTATCTCAAATAGCCAACACCGCATTTGCTAGTAAAATATGTCACTCCCATTCAGAGAAAAACAAGAATATCCAACTTTATCCTCATTTTGGGGCATTGTTTGGGAAGTTTTAGCCAACACAAGAACAGGATTAAGAGAACTAAATGGGATTAATACATCTATCAAAAGGAGACAAAATGATCACTGTAAGTAGATGATATGAATGTACAGGCCTAAGAGAAGCAATAGAAAAAAAAGTGATATCTGTCAGAGGTTTGGGCTACAAAACAACAGTTACCTTTGGTTAAGATCTTTTATAGGCCAGGCGCAGTGGCTCACGTCTGTAATCCCAGCACTTTGGGAGGCCAAGGCGGACTATTGCTTGAGCCCAGGAGTTCGAGACCAGCCTGGGCAACAGGGTGAAAACCTGTCTCAAAAGAAAAAAAAAAAGATATTTTATATGCCAAGCACCATGCTGGGGACATTATAGAAATGGTTTTGATTTTGACAGCCAACCCATAATATGGATTTTAACCTGCTCACATACATTGTGGAGCTGGAATTCAGATGCTAGATCTACTCAACTCTAAAGCTGATTGTCTTCATCTCTATGCCATGGACTTCCTGCACAAATGTATAAAACATAAAAGTGTTTCTAGACTCTAATAAAACTCTTGGACAGTATGATTAATGAACAGCCATATTCACAGTAAAAACAAAATGGAATACATAGCAAAAAAATTAAAATGGTAAAGAAAAAACTTAGCACCTACACGATGAGCAGTACACAGTTTACTGAGGGATCTAAAGAAGGTGGAGTGTTGCTATTGCAAAGCCATCTGTTTTCTCTCTAGCTGTAGGTTTAATGCAACTGAAATTGTTTTGGAAATTTCCCTAAGGTTAATCTGGAAAGAATAAATGGATAAGAATAATTGAGAAGGCCAGGTGTGGTGGCTCACATCTGCAATCCCAGCATTTTGTGAGGCTGAGGCGGGCGCATCACGAGGTCAGGAGTTCAGGACCAGCCTGATCAACATGGTGAAACCCTGCCTCTACTAAAAATGCAAAAAAAAAAAAAATTAGCTGGGCATGGTGGCACATGCCTGTAATCCCAGCTCTTCAAGAGGCTGAGGCAGGAGAATCGCTTGAACTCAGCAGGCAGAGAGGTTGCTGTGAGCCGAGATTGCACCATTGCACTCCAGCCTGGGTGACAGAGTGAGACTCTGTCTCAAAACAAACAAACAAACAAACAAAACAGAATAGTTGAGAAAATGTAGTTTTTAAAGACTGTGTATTTGTGGAAGGACACTTACACTATCAAATATTAAATATGTATTACAACCACAATAGTGTGATTTTTTACCCAGAATAGATCAATAAAACAGAATATATGTATAGAAACCGTTCAATAAATTGTGAAATAGTTAAGTTGTGGCAAAGGTAAATTCTTAACATTACATGACAAAGTAAAATCCAGATAAGTTAAACAATTTAAGCATTCATATATGTATACATATGTGTGTACATATACATTTGTGTGTGTGTGTGCGCGTTTGTGTGTACCTACCAGTTCTTGGAGTAGAGGTGGTCTTTCTATACATAAAATACTTAAGGACAAATTGGGATGTGATATTGCAACATGATGCCACAGTATGAAAAATCTCAACATATAAAGTATTTTTACAAGTGAAAGAAGAGTGCAGAAAGTATTAACATGCAGTTTATAAAAGAAGAAATTAACATCAGCAAATATATGAAAAAATTCTTCAGCCTCACTGGTGAGTAAAAAAATGTAAGTTAAAATGAGCACACGCATTGCTGGAGGGAGAATAAACTCATGCACTCTTCTGAGGAGTGATTTGACTGAATGTCTGAAAGGCCTGAAATATAAATCATAATTTTTGGTCCAGTAATTCTAATTCTTGGAATTTTCCAATTGAAATAATGAAAGTTATGCACAAAGGATAATTATTGCTCTGATATTTATAATAGTGAGAAATTAGGATCACATTAATTGCCCAATATTAGGAAGCCATTTAAATAAATTATAGAGCATGTCATAGAAAAATATGCAGGAATTTAAAATAATGTTATAAAAGAATAGTTAATCGTCCCGGGGAAAGTTTACGATATATTGTTAAGTGGATGAAAAGTAGGTTATGTAAGCAAAAAATGTTAATCCAGCTCATCTCTTAAGTGGGTTTACGGTAATTTTTTACTTCTATATTTAATGTTTTAATAGTTTTTTTTAAAAAAAGGCAGTTTTCATAGAATAATAGCAACATATATATAAAATATATATGAAAAAACAAGATTAAAGAGGAAATACACATTACTGTGTTTATTGATGATAACAGCAATGCAGGTGATTATTATGTTATTCTTTGTATCTTTTTCTTTAATCATGCATTAATTTTAAAACCATGACATTTAAACAAGAAACTTTTTAAAAATAAATGAAAGGGAAGAAGAAGGAGAAAGAATAAAAGCAGCACGTGAAAACTCTAGAGTAGTGGAAATGCTAAAGTATGCCATTCATTAATTCATTCACTCGTTTTATAATTACTGACACTAAGTGCCTACTGTGTGCCAGGCCCTGTCTTAATGGGAACATAGTGGTGAAATAAAATTTGCAGTATTCATGGGGTGGGGTGGGGTGGCGTGGAGTGGCTGACATTTACCAGATGTGGGTGTAATTAAATAGAATTGAAAACTGTGGAAGCATATTATGCATAAAACAGGTTTTATGAGAATAAGCTCATAGAAGGTTTATATATGTATAAATGTAAATAAGAGACTGGTTAAGAAAAATATTTAGAAGAATATTTAGAAGATATTTAGAAGAATAGTCAATACAGTCCTACTTAGGAAAGAGACAAAGGAAAGAAAGGAAAATAATATAAAAGTAGTTTATTATCTTCATAAGAAATTGAGATATGGTTGCTTGTGCCATTTTTAATTTTATAGGGAGCAGAGAAGTTTACGTACACTTAAAGCAGAAATGATAATTGTAATCTGAAATTTTGAAATGTTATTCTAATAGAAAAATATAAAAGTACTATAAATTCCAAATTTACATGTGAATTAACCAATGTTGATAGCAAAAACCCTGATTACATCCATTATGCATCCAGAACCTTCTTATTACCTGTGGAAGAATTAATTAGAAGGTTTGCTTCATGGCCAGGATACAAACTCAGAGAGAGGATTTTTTCTCTTTCAGCATTAAATGAACCCACCATAGACTATGGCTTCCAGAGACTGCAGAAGGTCATCCCTAGGCACCCGGGAGATCCTGAGAGATTAGCTAAGGTAATGTGCTTTGGAAATGGACATGTGAAGCCATTTGTGTAGAATTTCAGCAAACTTAGACAAATGCAGGCATTTACATCCCATTAAAATTAATTAGGCCTTGAAATTTAGCTAAGCTTTAGATACAAGATGCACATAAAATATCTGCTAACTCTGAAATATATTACGGTCGTATTTATCTCTGAGGAAATATGAAATCTGAACATTTGGGCCGATAAAATAGATACACAACAGGAGTATTCAGTTTTAAAAACATTGCCAACTTTCTGAAAATAAATATCTGCATAATTGGTTAAAAATATAAGCTTTGGCGGCCGGGCACGGTGGCTCACGCCTGTAATCCCAGCACTTTGGGAGGCTGAGGCGGGCGGATCATGAGGTCAGGATATCGAGACCATCCTGGCTAACACGGTGAAACCCCATCTCTACTAAAAATACAAAAAAACTAGCCGGGCATGGTGGCGGGTGCCTGTAGTTCCAGCTACTCGGGAGGCTGAGGCAGGAGAACGGCGTGAACCCGGGAGGCGGAGCTTGCAGTGAGCCGAGATGGCGCCACTGCACTCCAGCCTGGGCGACAGAGTGAGACTCCGCCTCATTTAAAAAAAAAAAAAAAAAAAAAAAAAAAGTATTAGCTTCCACTCCTTTGTATTTAAATGTTTCTATTTACCCATAATTTCAGGGACCCATTAATCCCCAATCAGTATTAATCATTGAGGGCCTACTATGTACATAGGTATCTAATGAGGAGAAAATTGCTTCTGTATAAAATTACTATGAAATACATCACCTTCAAGTGAACTTCCTTATGAAAATTACTTTATGAATTTGGCCCATGTTGTTGGCTTTATTTAAAAAGTACATCAATTTATTAGTTGTCATTTAGCTGATGAGAAACTATTAAATTTTCACATTTATATTTGCACTTTAAACATACAAATTATAAAATGCCGTGTTCTCTTTTCCATACTGTGAATAAAATTTAAGCACCACAGTTGCTTCTACATCACACCTTTATTTTCCTCCTGGAAAAATCCCTAGCCCCACCATTAAATTAGATGATATCTGGAAAGTAGGTTAATAGCAATTTAAAAGGCTGTAAAAAACAGGAGGTGGAAAAGGCAAAATGAGAGGAAAGGGATTTGTGATTACTAATTCTCTCTGGTTAAAATGTACAGGGGGAAATATTATTGAAAGAATTCATCTTTATTAGAATAAAATTTTGCAGAAGGCATTGCCAAGATCATTTCAGTACTCTGGACAACTCCTTGGCAACGAGCTAAACTCAAATCCATCAATCATTTTAAGAATATTTGGTTAATTAGAGACCCAGATTTTTAAAACAGAATGGGCTGAAAGTAGCATTTAGTAGAACTTCCACGACGTTATTAATTTTAATCAACTTCACTCTCAATTGGGTTGGTTTTTGTTTTGGTAACACAATCATTTATAGAGCCATTTTATAGAGGCAAATTTCAGATAGATAGGTATTTATAGAGAGATTTATTTGTATAATTGTATTTTACTTGTCAAACCAAATATAGGACCTCTTGACTAATTACTTACATTTTGGGAGGGATGTGTGGATTTCTCATTTTTGCCTATAATTTTCTTTTGTTTGCCATTTTGGATTTTGCCTTTGACAATACCCCACCCTCACTTGTTTTCCAGGAAATGCTGTTGAAAAGAGCTGCAGATCTAGTGGAAGCTCTTTATGGCACACCACACAATAACCAGGTGAGATACTCACATCCTACCTTTTCGTGAGTTTTGCACTTTATGCTGGATAGAATGCTCACATTAACCTGCCGTTTTGTAGGACATCATTTTGAAGCGAGCCGCAGACATTGCTGAAGCCCTCTACAGTGTCCCCAGGAATCCCAGCCAGCTTCCAGCCCTCTCCAGCTCCCCAGCACACAGTGGCATGATGGGAATCAACTCCTATGGCAGCCAGCTTGGGGTCAGCATCTCAGAGTCGACACAAGGAAATAATCAAGGTACCACCTTTCTTAGAGTCAAAATCCAAATATGTCTAATTTTAAAAGTTCTACTGGAGTAGATGGAGGTAGAGGTTGAGTCATAATGGTCCAACAGAGTGTGTCCACAGATAGGCAATACAATCATAGATTGCGTTATTTCAAGATTATAGATGGTACATTATTAGAGTTTGAGCTTCTTAGGTACCAGGTAGAATGTCTGGAAATATTTAAGGAGAAGATTGAGTATTACTACCGGGTGTAGTGGCTCACATCTGTAATCCCTGCACTTTGGGAGGCTGAGGCAGGTAGATTGCTTGAGCCCTGGAGTTTGAGACCAGCCTGGGCAACATAATGAAAACCCATCTCTATAAAAAATAGTCAGGTGTGCTGGGCAGATGTAGTCCCAGCTATGTGGGAGGATCACGTGAGGCTGGGAAGTCGAGGCTGCAGTGAGTAGTGGGGTGAGCTGGCACACTGCACATGAGCCGAGGCTGCATGTGAGTACATGTGCAGTGTGACAGTGCACTCCAGCCTGGGCAACAGAGCGAGACCCTGTCTCAAAAAAAAAAAAAAAAAAAAAAGGGATTGAGTATTATCAATTTGGAAAGGTTTGGGCTTATAGAAAATAGGTTTACAGGTATTAATTGAAAAGAAATTTATGCTTCTGTTATTGTGATGATCAGATTGAATACTGGAAAGAAGCTGATTATTGCCATTATCATTTATGATACCCAAATTTCTCTTCCTGGTAGCCAAGAGTGAATGGCTTGGTTTTATTTGGTAACTTCTATTTTGTATGATCTCCTATATATAACAACAAACAAATATAAAGACAACTGTGCTTTTACATGTAAAGCAGACCATGCAAAGATCTTTGCATTGAGATTGATTATTAAAGTGCTAAGTCGGAATCTGTCACAAATCATTTTTAAAAGGAGTAAACGTTCCTAATGAGGTCCTTAACATTGGGAGAGTTTTTTTTTTTTCTAATTTTATTTATTGGAAGAGAATTCCTCATTTTTTTGCCCAGGGTGAGTTCTTACAAAAGAGTAGGTGAGCCGGGCGTGGTGGCTCACACTTCTAATCCCAGCAGTTTAGGAGGCTGAGATGGGCAGATTGCTTGAGCTCAGGAGTTTGAGACTAGCCTGGGCAGCATGGTGAAACCCTGTGTCTACAAAAAATACAAAAATTAGGCAGGTGTGGTAGTGCTCACCTGTAGTCCCTGCTATTTGGGAGGCTGAGGTGGGAGGATAGATTGAGTCCAGGAAGTTGAAGCTGTGGTGAGCCATGACTGCCACTGCACTCCACCCAGGGCAACAGAGTGAGAGCCTGTCTCAAAAAAAAAAAAAAAAAAAAAAAAAGACAGGGCATATTATTACTTTTGTTTTTGTAGACATGAGGCCCATAGACCAAATGTCAAATTGTTTTTCATTTGGTAACAAATTTGGATTGTTTCCTAAATAGTTTGAGAGACAGTAATCCAAAGTGGTTTATTCCAGGACACATGAGACGTTTCTGAGCTGTGGTTTCTCACTCCTTCCCCTGTTCCAGGCATAGGCTGGGTCCCCCACACTCACTGCTGATGCCCCAAAGTCCTAGGTCAAAGAATAGCACATTTTAGGGGAACTCATCAACACTTTTTGAATGAAATTGACCCCCACTTGCACCTAGGGCATGGCAACAACTTTGAACTAACATTTCTAAAACTGTGTTCCATACAATACAAGTGGCCCCAGACAGGTTAAGATACCTTTCCCCTCCAGGCCTCACCAAAAGATGCTATGGCATGTTAAATTTGGTAAACACTTAAGCTAGCAAAGTTAAACCAGTTTGTTTATTCTCTAGGCCTTCTGTATATGAATCATCAAGAAATGGCTACAGTGCATAACATCTACCCAGCCTAACTTGACCACAGAATGCTTTTCTCAGTGACACCAATCATATCTCATTGGACTCCAGTGTCATACGAAGTATTATTTTTGGGAGAGGGAACTCCACACTGCCATTAGCCATTTGCTCCTTGGTGTGAGCTGGAGGTGCTGAGTGCAGGTTTGAATGAAGGGGAGTAGCAAGGGCATGGCCTTGCATAGATGGGGAAGAGAGAGGAAGGTATAAAAGGCTGAAGATGGGCCGGGCACACTGGCTCACACCTGTAATCCCAGCACTTTGGGAGGCCAAGGCAGGTGGATCATGAGGTCAGGAGTTCAAGAGCAGCTTGGCCAACATGGTGAAACCCTGTCTCTACTAAAAATACAAAAATTAGCTGGGCGCGATGGGAGGTTGCCTGTAATCCCAGCTACTCAGGAGGCTGAGGCAGGAGAATCACTTGAATCTGGGCTAGTAGAGGTTGCAGTGAGCTGAGATCGTGCTACTGTACTCCAGTCTGGGTGACAGAGTAAGACTCTATCTCAAAAACAAACAAACAAAAAAAACCCCAACCAACCAAACAAAAACTGAAGATGGACTGCACACTTCCCACAACTGCCCAGGGCACCTGGTGGCATTCTATAGCCTGGGGCCAACGCAGACCTGTGCTAGCCACATGTGGCCTGACCGTGCACGCCTGTTGATTTACCTGGAATTTTTCTTTGTTGCCAAGGGTACATCCGCAACACAAGCAGCATCTCTCCACGGGGATACTCTTCCAGCTCCACGCCTCAACAGTCTAATTACAGTACCTCCAGCAACAGTATGAATGGTTACAGCAACGTCCCCATGGCCAACCTGGGTGTTCCAGGATCACCAGGATTTCTAAATGGCTCACCCACCGGCTCTCCTTATGGAAGTAAGTGACCTCTCTATACCTCCGGCTCTCCATGCTTTTTGGTCTCTGGGTTTTACTATTCAGCCTTTTGGGAGAAAGTTGCATTTGTAAATCTTCCTAAGTCGTCGGGGAGCAGCCTAGTTTCCTGATTAAGCGTCCTTCCTGTCTTTGGTTCTTTTCCCTTAGCTGGACTTTGGCTCACGTGGTTACTCAAGGCCTTTTGGGGAAAGAAAAGGATTGAAACAATTCCCTTTTTATAGAGAAAGAGCATGTGTGGCCTGTGTTAAGTGGGAGCAAGGAATTAAGATTCCATTTCTGTTAACAATATGTGTACTCTTAGGCACTTTCAGATGTAATATTTAATCCCCATAAGAACTTCCTGATAAGAACTTTTATCTTCATGTTATAGACAAGGAAGTTGGCTTTGCTGCAGTTTTCTGACTTAATCAAGATCACATAGCTAGAATAGAGCAGGGTAATAATTTAGGCATAGTCCTGATGACTTTGAGTTATTTTGTATATCGCACCATGCTTCTTTTTGACTTTGCAACCTGGTTTTCCCCTCCCTTCAGTACCTCCAGAGAGGTGGAAGTTGACTGCGTGCAATCATGTGATATATTGAGACAGAACTTCTTCGTCTTAATCTGTGGTCTAGCAGCAAAGTCCCTGCTCTGGGAAGTTGTGAAAACCCCATTTGGGTTGCTTTGGGAGGTATGCCGGGAAGTTACACAATGGTCCCAGGAGCCTGAGGGAGTGCATTTTTCAAACCTACCTAGGGAATACTTTAGGCCAGGGGACAAGATGACATGGAGAGGCTGAAGTGATTGAGTAGAGTGTTCTTGAAATGCTGGGTCTTGTTGCAATTCTCTGCACCTTGCCCTCTTTTTACCCCATGTGGTTCCCTTGTGCCAAGAGCAAGGACATGTCAAGGGCAGCACATAGCCACGTCACATTGACATGTCACAGAAACTGCCTTTCACAGTCTTTGGACTTTTGGTTCCCTGGGGAGACACACCTATGAGCTATTTCTGGATTATCAGTTCGATGCATACACTCTACACTACACGGCAAGACAAAGACATAGTACCAAGCAGCTAACGGTAGTAGAGGTCAGTTCTCCTAGTATGATGAAAATCTTGTTACTGCAAAGACACGAGTTCTATGTTGTGTCTTGTCAGGTGGCCCAAGTTCATTAGATCACAGTTAGTCTGGAGAAATAAATGATTGCTTGATTTGTTTCTACCTTATCTTGGTCCAAAAAGTGTTTGGGGGAATTATTGCAGTCAAATAGGTAGTATGAAAGTATAAAACAGGCTCTAACAAGAAACCGAGCTAAAATAAACAAATATGGTTCAGCAAATTAGAAAATGCCAGGGCCAGCATGAATACCGTTTGGTCTGTTTACTTCGTTCTGAGTTTACAAGAGGCTAAAGCAAAGAGAGAAACACTATTTGTTGTAAGATTTTATGTCCACACGTTATTTTTTAAAGTAGCTCAGAAGAAAGGTGGCAATTTCTGTTCCTGAGATGTTGGAGAGGTCTCTCCCTTGCTTTCTCCTGGAGAAGATGTCTGGTGTGGTAAAGAGATCACATCTTTAACAACCCCTACAAATAATGCAGTGGCAAGCGATCCATTGTATAAACAATGTTATAACAGTGACAATAATAAGATGAATTAACAATTACATTCCGCTTTACCGCTTAAAAAGCATGTTGACATCTAGAGTCCAGTCAGAGCCTTACAACAACCTTGTGACATGGATACTATCATTTTTATCATTATCCCTTGTAAGAGATGAAGAATTATTAAATGACTTGAAAGTTCATAGTAAGTAGTAAAAAGGGGACTAGAATATATCATCACACTCAGAATACCACATTTTAAAATTAATAATGTAAGAATTATTTAATGTATTTATAGTGTAATATTAGGTTAAACCATATGAAATTCCCTCTATTTGACCATTTTTGATTTATAGAAGTGGCAATTTCACATCATTCAGTCATAATTTATGTAGGTATGAATAAGGTTGACTCATACTTGTTTTTGTACATAAAAAATGATCAGTTTTATAATACAGTATGTAGTGTGGTAGTGAAGAGGATGGAGAAGAAAGAGAAAAAAAAGAGGAATGAAAATGCACAGTTAGGTGTTAATTGCTTAATATTTTTTCCTAAATAATTCATTTGGTAGAGAGAAACCCTTCCCACTCCCACCAGAACGATTTCCTTCTGTTCTTTCATGATCACCCAAACCCACTGCCACCAGAAAACTAGTAACACCCCAAATCTTCAAAGTACCCATTAAAATGAGATGGTAGACACAGATCAGGGAAAAGAGGAAGGCAACGTGCCCAACTGGGAGAGAGAAGGAGAGACTGGAGAAGACCTCCTCCCTGTACCTATTGAATCTGGTGTGATGGTTTGCACCTTCACTTTTGGAGGGAGGGTCTGAATGAGTTGCAGGCTAGGAATGAAATTCCAAACAGTGCATTCATTACAATCAAATTCCCCTACTCCACAAAGACTGACTACCCAGTGGAGTTCATTACAATAGCACCTGACCTGTATTTCTAGCCAGCCAAGTCTTTACTTCTCTGGGAAATACAAAAAAAAGAAAAGCCCCGGGGAAAACATTTTGTCAGTTCAGTTGCTTGTGTCTGAAAACACAATTCTATGATTTTTTAAAAATGCATCTGATGTGGCTGGGCCATGCCATGGAGCAAATATTTGCCAGAGACTCTAAGATAGAAATAGAGCCAAGCTTCTTGGTCACATTTAACTTGCATGACAGCCAATGCAGAGTATCAGAAACCTGCATCTTTACTGTTTTTGCTTTCACACTACTTCAAAAATGGCCAAACAGATGTTTTTTCAATTTTACATACAAACTTCACTTCCTGGCAGTAGCAGTGTGCCAAGTTCCAGCTCAGTGCAAGTTTTTATGGCTGAATTCTAAACCCCTGACAAAAGGGGGTTATAATGAAATGCTGACAGACCCCTTAGCTCCAAAAAATGCAATGGCTCAATGCAAAGGAGGATATGTGCCCGGTGAGTTCCAGCTGAGACTATGCAAGCCAATCAATCCTTTTACAAAGAAAAGTGGTTTTTCCTTAACTCCCCATGTTCACAGAGATTTCTGGGCCAGACGTACTTGTCTTTACTTTGGCCCCTATCCATAGAGAGAGAGATGTCCAGAGAAATTCTCAATTGGAAGTACATGCAATCAACTTTCCTAAAATGGTTCTCTCTGCAGTCCCAAAAGATTGTCTATTTAACAAGCCTGTAACACCCATAGGGACCACTTCTTCCAAAGCAGAATAGCCACCAAGCCTATGCAGAGTTTGGGACAGAATCCATACAGGCAGGAATCCAACCTGTCCTCATAGATTCCTACATTATGTTCAGAGCCTTAGACCATGCTCCGGGGTTCAATTGTTTTATAGTTTCAAAAACAAATATTAAGACATTCTCTATTGTAAAATATTAAATGATTACTACAGAAAATGTAGAACGTATAAAAATAGTTTTTAAAAGAACGCATACTCCCACCATAAGAACAACCTCTTTGAATTCTGATATATTTCTACTTCTTCAGAAAAGAAAAACAAAAGCCTATTAAAATAATAGTATTCTCATTACAGACAACTTGAAAAGCACGTATAGGTAAAAAGGAAGAAAGAAAAATGGCACATTCTGTGTCTACGCGGAGGGAACCATTGTTAATTTTTAAAGGATAGTCTTCCAGTCATGGATAGATACATTTTGAAAATTGCAGTGTCTGCTCTGATGCACAACTAATGAGATTCTGCCATAAGATCAATGAAAGAGAGGGTGGAAGGAAAGCAGTAAAATTACCAAAGTCACAGATATGAAGCTGGGCGCCATAAAATCCTTCAGTGATGCAGACCCAGATCGTAAGAATAGGGAACAGAGATATGAGGAGTGGTGTTTGCTTTTAAAAGTTGACTACAATCATCAGGTGTTTCCCAGGAATGTGAGGATTTATTCATCTCTTGCTTTTTTTTTTTTTTTTAATAGGTGGGGTTGTTATTAGAGTAACAGACAACTTTGTTTATAGGCAGTACAGCCTTAAATGAAAGAGAAAAGTTAAAATTATTTGTAAATGCTAATATGTCTATTGCTAAGGATTGTATTATTTATTTCTTCCCAAAGAAATCGAGATTTTCCCTTTTTAAAATGTAATAACCTTTACTGGTTTCTCCTACCATGTATTAAAAGTAACACAAGTTTGTTGTAGAAAATTTTGACGATATGGACAAGTGAAAGCACTACATTTAAGGATATTCATAATCCCATCAGCCAGAGATACCATTGCTAAAATTTTGGGTGTATATCACGTCCTTCTAGACTGTTGCTGCTATTTGCATTTCTAAAAATTAAAGGGGGCTTAATATGTGTTATGCAATTTGTTTTTTTCATCTGAAGGGGTGTATATTTCCATGGGATTAAATATTCTACAGCACTAGTTTTAATATTGGCATAGCATTCTATTGTATACTAAATACAATGTACCCTACTGCAGGACACTTAAGTTATTTTCCAATTTTTCATTATTATAAAAATGCCCTTGGACCTATTATTTTTGGCACAGTCATGACTATCTCCTTGGGATTAATTTCTAGAGATTAAATTAGTGGGTCAAAGGATGTGCACATTTTAAAATACTTTGATATATATTGCCAAAGACCCTCCAGAGAGGTTAATTCTTCCCTCAGAAAAGAAAGAATATTATATGTTTCCCCGCCCTGTTAATTTTTTCTTTTTCTATTTAGTAAGTGGAAAATAAGATCTTGTTACCGTTTTAATTAGCATTTTATTACGAATCAGTTTGATTGTTTCTACATGAGTCTCTCTTGGTCATTTTTATTCCTGATTTTCTTTTTTTGTGTCCCTTGCTTATTTTTCTCTTGGGGCGTTTTTCTTTTTCCAATTAGGAAAACTTATGAGCTATTGAGGATATAAGCATATCTAAATAAGTATTGCAAATATTTTTCTTAATCCGTCATTTGCCTTTTTGTGTTTGTTGCAGAAGTTTTTCATTATGCGGCAAATCTATCTTGTAAACTTCTAACCATCCTAATAGCTTCACTAGCACTGTTACAATTTTGCTTTTAAAAATAACTCTTTAATCTACTTAGATTTATTTTGGTGTTCAACAGGAGAAAGTACTCTAAACTTAGTGTTCAAATGGTTAGTGTATTTTTCTATGCATTTATTTTCCTACTAATATGAAATGTCACCTTTATTAATTCCCGTCTATACCCAGGTCTGTTTCTGAACTCTGTTTTGCTGTAAAGATTTGTCTGCCTATTTCTGTGCTAGTACAATGCTGATTTCACTGATGAAGATAAGTGCCTCTTACTACTTAAAAAAAATTTTTAAACAAAACTTCCTGTCTTTTACAGCGTTATTGTTTTTTGAAACAGATAAACATAGTAATTGTGTTTGCTGAAATGCACAAATTAAAATTCCTTTCAGTATTTTTATTATAGTTGCACTGAATTTTAAATTCATTTGAATGCATTTTGGCATTTTTACAAAATTGTAAGAACTATTTAAAACGGACATGTGCTTACTCAACTCTGCAACAATTCCTCCACGTCACTTAGTAAAGCTTGAGGTGTTTCCGCTGCCACTGCAAGGGAACCATTTTTGATCTAATGGGCTCTACTTTCCATTGAAATCTGTTATTAGAAAATAATTATCTGTACTAGTGAGTCACTTGCTGAATATAAATGGAATGGAGTATGTGTGAATGCCTAATTCACATTATACAAACCTCTTCAATGATGATGTCTGAGAGGAGGTTCTGCTGCTGTAGACACCATTTGGGGGACCGTGGTAGAATACGGGCCCCCTAAGTCCCAGCTTTTCTTTGGCCCCTAATTCTGTACCTTAGAGAAAATGAAAAGTTGGGGATTTTTTGCTTGTGGACTTTTTTGTCTTTTGTTTTTCTATTTCACTAATGCCAAACCCAAGGCTAGAAGAGATTTTGCTCAGAACCACGAATAAGACCCACTCCTCATGCTTAACCCTGTGTCCTATCTTCTTATGTGAATTAACCCAACAGTGTTTTTATTCATTTACATATTCAAGTATTACATGAGATTCTTCCAGAACTTTGTTCTCCTTTCCAATTTTTTTTCTTTTAATTCATATTTGAGGAAAGACAGATGTACTCAGATGCATAGCTCCTTAAATCAAGACTACTTTAAGGATAAGAAGTTTTTAGGGAAAGCTCTCCTTTTGAAGTCTTTGGATTTCAGTTCAGCAATAAAAGACATCATATGGGACTTGTGCTATTTAAGTGTTTATACAGGCAATTGGGTGGACTCGGCCCAAAATATATTTTTATAGGGAGGGAGGGGAAATGAGGGTGGAGTCGTCCATGGACATCAGAACATTTGACCTTCAATTCACCTTGTACTTAGTTGTTCAGTCATAAGTCTCGCCCATGTCCTCACTTTCAAATTTACTTTGAAGGACAATTGGTACATTGAAAACACAAAGCAAGAAATAGCACTGCTGGGCTTGGTCATTAGGCTCCAACAATACTTTTATCAAGTCATGTGACTCGGACAGTTCAGAATCTGGGAATTATACTAACACAAGTGCCTAAAACTATCAGGTGCTATATTTAAGAGTTTTGCCCTTGTGTGCTCTAGTTTACCCCTTTCTTAAGTTGAACATAGAAGGTAAAATTATCATCTTGCATGATGTAACTTGGTGGAGTATCTGACATGAAGAGGTGGGGTACTTCATCGTGTAAATTGCTTTTATTTTTCTTAGAAATTACAACACTTGGCTTTAGTCTTCCCTTAAGTCATTTTAATGTTAATACCACTAATAATGGTGTTTTTTCCTAAACATTATGTCAGGGGAGGCCAACTTGCAGCTATATTTCCCAAGAGCACTGAAAGTACGGGAGAGGGAGACAATATTCTGAATGTTAATAAACTTTTACATTTAATGAGCACGTGGCCCATAGAGATGGCACTCTCAGAGAAGATGTTAACTCTACAGACCAAACCTCTGGAGCCTTAGGAGTTACCGGGGAAGCACATAGCTCCCAAATAGGACTTTTTTTGTAGGGTGTAAAAGTGATTTCCATTGCTGGGTAGATTTGATGATTTTTCAGGCATGTTTGGCCTCAGTCTTCTCTCTTGCCAAGCTGCTGCTTGTGAATGAAGACCTGTTCCAACATCACTTCCTGAAGCTGCCTTCCCGACTCTCCCAAGCATTGGGTACCTTCCTCTAATAGCATCATTACCATATTAGTTGTTTTATGTGTCTGTTCCTCCCACTGGACAGGGTGGCAATGTTGTCACATTCAACTTTTTTTTTTTTTCTTCAATCCCTGCAATCTGGAACAATGCCAGGAAACTAACAATTTCTCAATAAAGGTGTGCCAAATATGTGAACTGAAGGAAGATCTTAATTTCTAAACGAGGATTGTGCATTTGCTTTCCAGTCATGTCATCAAGTCCCACCGTCGGGTCTTCCAGCACATCCTCCATCCTCCCATTTTCCTCTTCAGTTTTTCCTGCTGTCAAACAGAAGAGTGCCTTTGCCCCTGTCATCAGGCCCCAAGGCTCCCCTTCACCTGCCTGCTCCAGCGGCAATGGAAATGGATTCAGAGGTAAGCGAGGGTTCTATTTTGGGGTTATACATGACACAATGTACCACAGGGTTGGCAAAGTAAGAGCAAACAGGACATCGTTGTATAGCTCAGCTGTTTACCTGCAAAGAGATGCTTTGCTGTTCTCATCATGGGATATAAATGGCTTATACAGTCAGGCAAGCGCTCCATCTAAAAGCAAGATGGAGCCAAGCATGGTGGCTCATGCCTGTAATCCCAGCACTTTGGGAGGCTAAAGCAGGCGGATCACTTGGAGGTCAGGAGTTTGAGACCAGCCTGGCCAACATGGTAAAACCCTGTGTCTACTTAAAATACAAAAATTAGCTGGGTGTGGTTGTGGGTGCCTGTAATCCTAGCTACTTGAGAGGCTGAGGCAGGAGAATCACTTGAACCGGGGAGGTGGAGGTTGCAGTGAGCCGAGATCACGCCATTGCACTCCAGCCTGGGCAACAAGAGCAAAACTCACTCCATCTCAAAAAATAATAAAAGTTTTTTAAAAAGCAAGATCGGGGAAAACAGACATCAGCAAACTCTGCAGGCAATGGAATTAACCATGGTAGAGCCATACATACAATTGAGGAGTGTCTGGACTTCCCAGCCCTATGCTGTCCACAGGGCCATTCTGCTACCTCTCAGAAAATGCCCAGTCACCCCATGGGATACCACATGGTGCTTTCTGCTTACCTAATCCGCTTGCCATCACGGCCTCTTGGCACACATGGACAGGAGCCAGCAGGAGCAACCAACAAGTTCCGAGAATTCTGGTTACATGCAAGTCAAATTGATAGCAGGTGCCTGATTAGGCGGTTGTGGAGAATAGAAAGAAAAGACATACCGTTTCTAAGAACAAAAATTATCCATCCATCAAACCCATTTTTGAGCAATGTTCTAAAATATAATATGGCATGATATAACACAAATGTGATGAATATATGAAAATCAAATCATCTCATCATGGATTGGGGGCAGCCGACAGCAAAAGAACAAATTGGAAACTGCTGAGGACTGGGGCTCACCGGCAACCCACATTATTTTTAGGCTGCTCCTCTCGTGTCTTGGCAAGAAAATATTTACAACAAGTAGGGTTGGGTAAAACGAAAAAGGGAAGAGGTTTCATTAACCCCTCATGGATCAAAGGCTGTGAGGTCAGCAGTGCTTTATGGGGAACTTTGGATGGGCTGCATTGTCCTTGGGATGGCATCTGCCTGGTGGTTTGATGATAGAGTGGAGTGTGGGCTCTTAATTCTTTTGGGACACCTGTGAGAGGTCATTCTCTTGTGGCTGAGCAGAGCTCTGGGAGGTACGTTAGGTTCCTGAGCCATCCAAACACTGGAAATGGTGGTGTCTTCTGGAAGGCAAGTGACTCGACCGAGAAACTGTCAAAGCTAGAATGGAAAACCCAGCACTCAGAAACATTGTTGAAAATTATTTTACTTCTAACTAGATGAAGCAGCTGGGTCTATATGCCACCCAATGTGTGGGTAGCTGGAAACATCTGGAAATTTCATGGATTTTTTTGGCAGGGATTTTCACCCAGATGTCTAATTCATAGAGAAATAGGCTGAGCCTGTATCTAAGTGTCTCCACCTGCCCCGTCTTTCATCAAAGACCAGTGGTTTCCATCCCATCCTTAGGGGATGTGCCCAGAGTTTCTCCATGATGCCTTCATCTCCAGACAGGGAAATGAAGATGATAGCTGAATATTCACTGTACTTTCCTTCCTCTTCCCCGTGACCTCTTCAGTGTTGATGTTTCTTTTTAAGTTCTCTGGTTTTATTCATTGACCTTAACCCGAGTAGAGGCCCAGCAAGTCTTACTGGCAAAATGCAGATTGAGACAGACCAAGGAGGGGTGCAGGCTTTCCTCCGCATTGGACGGGAGGAAGACAGGATGGATGCGGCCCTTTCTTCATTCCTGGCCACTTAACACATAGGTTCAGTTTTACTTAAAGGAAAAAAGGATACTTGACTTCCACCTGTCACCCTTTCCCCACCTCCTCTCTCAATGTGGAGCTGGTTGTCTCAGATCTTCTGTTTTACCCGGCTCTCAGCCTACGGTGTGGCCAGGACAAGTTTCTTACAGACTCCAGGGCCTGTCATCCCCACCCCACCTCTTGCTGCATGCCCACGTCTCCTGTGGTGTTACTGAAGTCAGGTTTGAGTCAGCCCAAAGAGCTGGAAGGAAACCTTGCTTGGTCCTAGTGAGGTTCCCTCTGAGGGCAGCTGCAGCAGAAACAGAAGACCCTCTCCAGGGTCCCCAGCCGCACAAACTTCTGGTCACCACCCCTCAGGGTGCTCGGGCTGAGCGGCACGTTCCTGATAGGTTTATAGGAGCAGTGAATTGGTGAGTTGCATGTAGGCACAGGCTCTAGGCTCTAGCTTCATTTCTAGAGTCATTGCAAAGTTCCAAACCTCATTTGAATCCTTCAGTTCCCTCCACATTCCTCTGGTGATTTGAACCTTTAAAAGAAGAAGGGGCCAGGTGTGGTGGCACACACCTATAGTCCCAGGTACTTGGGAGGCTGAGGCAGGAGGATTGCTTGAGCCCAGACTGTGCAACATAGTGAGACCCCATCTCCAAAAGATTTTTTTTTAAAAGTTTTTATAGGTTTTTTTTAAAAAAAGAAATTAATTTTGGGGGTACAGACGGTTTTTGATTACATGGATAAATTCTTTAGTGGTGATTTGAAATTTCGGTGTACCAGTTGCCTTAGCAGTATACACCGTAGCCCATATGTAGTCTTTTTAAAATTTTGGAGTAGGTTGGGGAGGAGAAAAATAGAAGCACCTGTCGATTTAGGGCAGTAGCCTAAAAAGGAATTGCAAAAAAAACTATGAAAATATCAAGTGAGGTATGGAGAAATAACAGAATCCTGAGGACAACCTCAAAGAGGATTAGCCACGGGAAGAGCGCCGGCCACAATCTCACCAGTCGTGTGTTGAGTTCTAGTTCAGCTCTTTCCAGGCTGTGTCAATCTGTGCATGCCCTTATCCTCTCAGAGCCTCAGTTTCCCAGTCTGTTAAATAGAAAATCGACAGCTATCCCCAAAGGTTGTTGCGGACTAATTTGTGTAAAGAACTAGGCAAGGTAACAGATATTTCCTACAGCCTGGCTGAGAGGAGGCGAGGGTTCACAAAGGATGCCCTCAGAGACCTTACCTTCTGCTCTTCCTCATTTTAGACCAGGTACGTGGAAGCTCAGTGTCCAGCATTGTGAAGTTCCCTTGAGTAGAGAGAGGGAGGAAATGAAGCTGACATTTAATGCACAGTCACTGAACAACAACAACAAAAATCCTGGGATCTCAGAGGCCTGCTGGGCAGGGAGCTCCATCTCTTTAGAGATACAGTGGGAGGGTGACAATGTGGGCTGAGTGCCTGGGTGATCGCAGGCTGGGGAGGAGCCCTTCTCTAGACTTCATTGCCTGCAAAGGCATGTGCCGCCCACACTCTCTGAGGCTTGCTAACTATCCTGAGCACTACAGGCAAGGTGCCGAACTGAGTGCTTTAAGAGAATTATGTCTAAGTCATGCCATTATCACCATTCTTAGTTAAGCAGTTTACCCAAGGCCACACAGGAAGAGTCTGATGACTTGAACCCAGACATGTGGACTCCAGAGCTTGTGCTCTGGCAGCCCACTGTGTCTCCAGGGACAATGAGAGTGAAATTCTTATCTTTACCCTATACCCATACCTACTTTCCACCTGGTTCAAAGGGAGATAATTGCTTTCTGTCTGTTGGCTATGGTTTCTACAAGCAAAAAGTCAGAGTCCCCACCTAGCAGACATCAAGCCTACCCAGTCTGGATGTCGTACTAGGAGGAAGGGATATATCTCAAATCTGTTCTTCTCTGTCATTCAGGGCATCCTGTTCTTTGAGCACCTCTGCTGTTCCATGAGCCCCTTTGGTATCTCTCTGAGCACGCAGAAAAGGAAGGGGCTGAGGATTTTTCTTTTTGAGACAGGGTCTCACTCTGTCACACAGGTTGTAGCACAGTGGTGCCATCATGGCTCACTGCAGGCTTGACCTCCTGGGCTCAATAAGAGATTCTCTTACCTCAGCTTCCTGAGTAGCTGAGACTATAGGCATGTACTACCATGCCTGGCTAACTTTTATATTTTTTGCAGAGATGGGTTTTCGTCATGTTGCTCAGACTGGTCTTGAACTCCTGGACTCAAGTGATCCTCCCACCTCAGCCTCCTAAAGAGCTGGGATTACAGGTATCAGCCACCGTGCCAAGTCAGGAGTTTTAAATATAATAGACAAATTGAAGTTCAGAATGTGACTCAGAATTCCATGCCAGAGAGCTCCACATACAGCATGGTTCCACCTACCTCATTTATCAGCTGCTTCCAGTTGATGAGTATAGATTGTCGAGATAATATTACACACTATGTGTCTGATTCCTTTTCCAGCTCCCTCCAGGAAAAAAAAAAAAAAAACCCTCCTACACTCTGGGATAATTACTAGGGTTGCTATATCTCTAAGTCATCAGGGAGTGTCCAGAATTGAACCGCCTTTATTGAAAAGTTACATTGATTCAATATATAGTAATACAGGCAAAAATAATTAAGGCTTTGCTAGCTGTGTAAGACCTTAATCCAGATCTCACAAACATTCAATAAAGGCTGTATGGGCAGGGAAATAGACGGCTGACAATTTTGCCCGAGAGGACTAGCTGATGTGGAGAAAAGGGGCAGAGAAAGAGATGGAAGCATTGAGAAAAGCAGAGAGAATTTCAGCCATTTGCTTGGAAGCTTAGTAAGCAACACTCAGCAAAATGCTTCTATTATATTGACTAATTCCTTAGATGCAATGTAGATAGTAAAATGCAAAGGATCAAATTCTAGATATGATTTTAAAGGTTCTGATGCAAGGAAACTACTCTGCCATTTTCCAAGAATGTGAAAATCCCATGGGCTTATCCTCTGAAAGCCAAGGCTGGCGGAATACATTTTGCTGTGGGATTTTTCCACATTGTGCTGGTGCTGCTTTATTTGCCACATCTAGGGAAACCCTGGGAAGTGATTCCACCCAGAGAGGCATTGTCTGAATCCTCTTGGCCCAATGGAGGGAGAAAGAATTGGATTACTCCATTTATATAGGGTGATGAAGAGTAGGAACTGGGGGCTGAGCATGGTGGCTCATGCCTGTAATCCCAACATTTTGGGAGGCTGAGGTGGGTGAATCACCTGAGGCCAGGAGTTCAAGACCAACCTGGCCAACATGGCAAAACCCCATTCTCTACTAAAAATACAAAAATTCGCCAGGCGTGGTGGCTTGCACCTATAGTCCCAGCTACTCAGGAGGCGGAGGCTGAGGCAGGAGAATCACTTGAACCCGGGAGGTTTCAGTGAGCTGAGATGGCCCCGCTGCACTCCAGCCTGGGTGACAGAACAAGATTTCACCTCAGAAAAGAAGAGTGGGAATTAAGGAACTAAATGAAGTCTTCTATTCCAGTAATCAGCATTCATTTGCAATGAGCATCAGACATGAGCAGTGAGCACCAAAGGAAGATGAGCTAATTTAAAAAAAAAAAAAATGCACTCACCAAAGAAGTGAAGGGTAGATAAAAAGCTTGATTTGTAATCAACGATGCCCTGGTAAATCAACAGGCTCAGCACCTGGAAGTTCCTTTCCTGTTCCACCTAAGTGATTTGGAGGAATATAATCTGGAAGTTATTTTAGTCGAATAAAAAAATATATCATGCATATATTACAGTTTAGTTTACATGTTTACATCTGTTGTCTCATTTATACAACCCATTAATATAAAACAAAACCAGGCAAAACTTCATCAAGGTTTCCTTGTACTTCAGTGATTCCATAAGGCTTCAGTGCCTTTAATGGGCTGTCTGCTAGGAGAACGGTCCTCATATCATCTGAGGGCACTGTGTCCTTGAATGGCATCAGACTCTATCATTCCCATCCCCTGCCCCTCACTCTGTGTCATAGCCTTGAACATAAAAAGTCCCCAAGTCTCATTCCTGTGCCACTCTTTCCTTGCAGCCATGACCGGACTTGTTGTACCCCCGATGTAAAGAAGAACTGCTTTCTTATAGCACAAAACTACTTACTCTGATGGACCAATAATGAAGAAAGCGCTATGAGCTCTTACGGGGGTGTAGTGGTGCCCCCACATGAACACGATGGACACCCTTGGGTCTGCAAGGAGCCGGCATCTTACTTGGTCCCACGTCCTCCTATAGCTCTGACGGTGGCTACACAAACTGACCCTCTTGGGGACAAGGACAAAAGGTGTCATTGACGTAGTCAGTGCTAAGAGCAGAAATGCAATTCTTTGTTACGAACATTATGAAAACCACCTTCCTATGTTTGTAAAATATTTAAGAAAAAATTGGCAAACAATTAATGCTTAATATTTTGGATACTATTTGTTTTTCTTTGTAGGAAAAAAAAAGTTGAAAGTTTCTATTTTCTATGAAGCCTTTCAGATACCAGTTTAGTTTATGCAGAAAAAAATTGAACATAACAGGGTACCAGCATGGAAGACTTTCTTAAAACGCAACCTGAATTGAATGACGAAATGTTGTATGTGTGTTTGCTTATAGCTTAATCTCTAAAAAAAAAATGAACAAAAAAAGGGAAAAATTTTAAAATGTTTTACAATTATTTAAATAAATAAACGTGTAACTTATTGTAAGTAGAGGTAGAAATTAAGACCTTTTTTTTGGAAGAGAGAGGGATTTCTCTTCCTGATGTAAAATGAAAATGATGCAAACATGTAGTAACAAGTTTTAAAGGTGTGTGATTATTACTGCAGTTACTTACTAGACTCTTATCCCTTGTCCTGCACCCCCTCCTTTTCCATCATTTTATTGACCCAAGGGCAAGAACATGTAGAATCCCACAGAACAACCTAATGCAGAAACAGAGACTCTAGCACATGCACACACAAATACTCCAACCCATCAATTCATTCCCAGTTCTGTCTGATTTCTAAATAGTCCACACTCTGTGAATATTTTTTAAAAATTCATATTATTAGTTTTCAACATTCTCTCCTGAGCAATCCAGAGAATTCCTATCTTTCAGTGTGTCTCAGGCTTTCAGCATCCCAAGGAAAGAAGCGTCTCACCTTCTAGCAGAGCCAAAACCACAGACTTTCTTAACCAAGGGACCCTTTGGGAATTCCTCACCAGAACCCCACCACTCCCTCCTCTTTGGGTGCCTGGTTCAGTACAGAGGTACACAGCCCCATAGAACTTCAGAAACAGGGTTTGGAGAAGATAACTGTGTTTGATGGACTGTTTAGAGTCAGTCTTAGAACATCCAAGTCCTTTTCTAAATTTCCTCTTTTATGGCATGAAAGTCTCTTGAAAAACAGCTATCCCACTCAACACTGTTTCTAGTCAAGAATGACATGGGATGTGCGAGAGGGATATTAAAAGCCCTAATTCCCTCTTCTGATGTTCAAAGAAAGGCAAGACCAGATTCTTGGGACATCCAGAGATTAGGAACGTCGGTGTTCTATGCAGCACAGTTACCCAGCCCTTTGATGGGCTCTTCATAGCTCTTAGAAAGGAAGAACCTTGCCTTAGCTGCTAACAGTGGTTGATTCTTGAAAGCCTATGTGATCCTAGAGACACATCCAGGCATATTTGGATTGCCAATAAGGATGTCACTTGTTTCCACACTGGGGTTCTCCTTATTGACTCCTGAGCACCACAGTAGTCTATACACAGACTTAGTTTGGGGATCTTAGTTGGGACTTCAGCGTTAGAAATAGATGCAGCACTCATGGAAAAACATCATGAGTGCATCTGAGCCAATTTTAGATTACTTCATTAATTCTGCATACCTTCTCTTTGACCCATTGAGGCAGGCCCACACCTATCCAGCCCCAACTGTCTTATTTGCCTTTAACCCATTCTGGAATTACCCAATATGACTTATACTATTTCTATGCACATGAGAATTCAAGGTTTTAGAAACCTGGCATGCTTATAAGTACTGCTGACAGTCCCTCATAGTCAGGGCTTAATGCGCCAAAATACACGGAAACATAAGAGAAAAAGTCCCCCAGTGAGAAACCTGATTGATGGAAGGGGAAGAATGTGTGGAATACGAACGTTACCTTCCAAAAGTGAAGGCAGAGCAAAATTAAGCATGTTTAGCCCTGGATTTGAGCCAATCCAACATAAGGAAATTTTTTTTTTTAAAGTAGCATTGCTTTTAGAACCTGTGAATTTTCCTCTTGCATGAAGATGAGTGCAGTACTGTCTTCAAAATGATTGTAGAATTTGTTGGTAGCTTTACACCGAAAGATGCGTGTAACTAAATACCAGACATCCTTGACCATTCAGCTAGAACTCTGGCAGCAACAGAGCTATTTAATTGTACAAATGTGTGTAAGGATTATTTTTAGTGTACTAATAAATTAAAAACAAAGCTACCCTGTCCTTGTTAGTCATTGCTATTCAATCATTCCAGTCCCAAGTTATTTTTGTGCCACTTGGAATACGAGTATTTCTATTGGTAACTAGAAACTCTATCCTATGTTTGTAAGAGGAGCTGTGTAAGATTTTTTTCATTTAAAGGGACAATTTACTTCATTATTTATCTCATTCTTTTGTTATAGCATTGTAATTCTTCTCAGTTTTTCTTTGCACATTTCAATATGCATGGTTTAAAAACCATTAACTTCTCTACCTTTTGTACAGTAAGGTTTCATTTTCAAACTGTATAGTTTCATTTTATTGTTTTGCTTTGTCAGTTATATACAGTATAAAGTTGCTATGCACAGAGCTTTTTGTAAAGACAGCTTTTTTGTTTACTGTTTTTAATGGTCTTACTTAAAGAATATCTTGTTTGTAAAATGAATATGTCTACTTCAGTTTTAAACTTTAAATTATCCTAACAAAAAAATAAAATTTTTGTACTGTAAAAATGAGTGGACCTTTGCTTTTTCTTTTTTTGGAGTAGTAGTTTGGAATTTGTTCTTAATGTTGGCAATTTTCTCATAACTGCTGGTCCCTGAGTTCTATTTGAGGAACTCTTACTATAGATTTTGTTTAAATGGAATGTGTACTAAGTTATTCCCTTAAAGGAGAGCATATGACTTTTGTTCATTTTTCTGTGTATATTGATATATCCATCTGTTCAAATTCATTCATAAAAATAACCTCAAAACTGAAAGGATCCTGTTTGCTCTGTTGGATTTTGGCTATATAGAATTCCTGAGGCAGGTGGGCAGTCTCCTCTGATTTGAAATTGCTTGTTGAACAAATGTTAAAACTTGAGCTGTCAGACACTTGGTGAAGAATCACAGGCTAGAACACAAAGACTTGACGTCTCTTCTTAAATCATAGGAAAGGAGGGAGATGTATACTCATGGAAGAAAATAATACATAGACGATAGCTCACTCAAGAAGATAGGGCGCAGAGGCTTGGAGAAGACACCCAGACAGAGGGTTGGAGCTGTCAGAGAGGGTTCCTTCGTGGGAGGCAGGGCTGGACCAGGGCTCCAAAGACCAGCAGGAGTTTTGCAGTAGAGGAGGTTAGTAGCGAGCCCTCCAGATGGGAAGGACAACACAAAGGCATGCGAAGGGAAATTCACAAAGCAACTTAGGAGAACTGGATCCTATGTGTGATTTTTCAACCAGAGTATTCACAAGTGTACTTAAAATTGGATTAGTTCATTTCTCTCTAGGAGGGTACAGATATCTTCAAACCACACGCATTGCCCTCCTCACAGAAGTGGATGAAATGCTGCTTCGAAACACTGAAAAAGTCACTGCGTTTTTGACTTTCTCAATGAAAACTAGCTCTCTGCCTAGTTGGACGTTCTTCCCTTCGATCTCTGCATGGCTGTTGCCTTCTCATCCTTCAGGCCTCAGTTTAAATATCACCTACCGAGGGAGGCCTCCAGTGACCACCTGCGATGCAGATTCCCCTTCTTATTCTCCATAATTAAACTCTGTTTGTGCCCTTGTCGCACTTTGCATTCATTTGTTTGTTTCCTGCTGGCTGCTCCCTCCACTTTAGACAGAAAGCTCATAAGGACAGGGACCGCATCAGTCTCAACCCCATATGTGACCGAGGTTCTCAACACATGCTTGTTGGATGAGTGAACGAGCGGACTCAGTTCGGACTCCCAGAGGCAGCCCTGCCTTGTCATGTGGGAGAGGCCGCTGATTTGTTACAAACAACAGAAAATGGCATCATTGGCAGAATCCACTCCTTAGGGACTCTCTTGTCAGTCAACTAATCAAAAGAATTATGAAGTGTGTCTATAATGTAATGTGGCTAGATGTTTAACAGAGAAAACTCAAAATGGGAAGGAAATGAGGAGGAAGCAACCTCTGGCTGGTCGCCTGTTGCAGAGGTTGTTCAGCCCTGGAACTTACCCCATGTGGATTCTCTTACTCGGATGTGATTCTAGAACCAGAATCTGGATCTTTTAGGGAAATGTACATTCCATTCCTGTTCCAGGTAGGACAATGTTAACCACACACTTGAATCTCAAAGAGTCTTTGGTGCATTTACCAAATGGCAAGAAGTCCAGAGTGGCTGTTGGGCACTGAATGTGAGAGTGTTAAAATTTGAAACTTTAAGAATTAGGTGGGGACTATGTCCTAAAAGACTTTGTTCACAATGCCAAAGACTTTAGACTTCATACATTGATCTATACTGCAGGTAACGGAACTAAAAGAAACTTAAGGAGTGACATGATCAACTTTAGGCTTTACATAAATCATAATAACTACAATATGGGTGATGGATTGGAGATTGGAGATATTAGAGGCAAGGAGACCAATTAGGCAAGGACCAAAGACAGTTGATGAGCACCAGTGTGCTGGGCCATGGTTTATGACTGGTGTCCTTTCTAATTGCTCAGCACCTGTGTGGCAACGGTTGTGAAATGATTTAAAATTGCTCCTGCAATTAAGATACTATTGCGATAGTCTAAACACAAATGACTCATACCTGAACTAAGGCATGACAATAGAGATGGAAAGCAGAGGAAAGATTTGAGAGAGAACGTTTTACAGTTTGACAAGAGTTACCAACTAATGAAACGCTGGAATGAAGAGAATGGGGTGACTAGAATAAATCCCAGTTTGCCAGTTAGACAATCAGATTTTGCGATATCACTAACTGAAGTAGGGAGTACAGAGGGGGAATATCTTGGGAAAGGTGGAAAGAAATGATTTTAAATTGGGGCACACCTGGCACACATCTTCTCTTCCTTCTTGGTTCGCTGAAGTTTGTTTTCTAGCAGTTCAATCAAGAAGGACTTAGGAGAATTATGCTCCTTGGTTCATGCACACCAAAAAGAGATTATTTCTATTTGAATGGCTATTTGGTTAAGTATTAAATCTAAAATTGAGGGGTTTATACTTTGAGGATTCACAGGAGTTTTTGTTTATTTGCTGTGTTGCTGTGGCGATGTCTAAAGCCATGCTTTTCTTCACCTCTTATTTTCCTTATTTAAGCAAGGCAATCCTATAATTTTTTTGTGTAAGTCATGACACTTTTGAGAGTGAGGGAGAACACAATACATAATTATGGCTAGAAAACAGATGCAAATTGAGACTAACTCAAGGTCTCTCTATTTACAAGTGACTTGATCTTTTTGTCTGCCAGCCCCAGAGGCTTTCTATGGGAAGCCAGTCCCTTTACCAGGATACAGCTGGATGTTGATTGTCCTGTGTCGTTTTTTTTTCCCAGTGTTCCCTTTCAATGTGTAGATTCAAGTCGTCTTTTATTACTGGAAACATTTCTTTAATTATGATGTTAAAATATATTCTCTGTTCCTTCATTCTGGTCCTTCTGGTCTTCCTTTCTGGTCTTTCTGAAGACACAAGTGAGGCTCTCTAGTGTCCATTGTTTCTGTCCGTCACATCCTCTCTAAATGCACACCGTTTGCTTGCCTTTCTCACTCTTGTCTGCCTTTGTATTCCAATTTCTCAGTGGCTTTTATTTTTTCTTTCACTATTTTCACGAGTTGTTCCAGGTTATATTTCATCGTTTTCATTGTGTTGCCCAGTTTCATGGAACTACTGCATCTCTGCATTGAGCTACTGTTTCACAGAAATATTATTTTTTAAAATTATTAAGGCAATGAGCTTGATCAGAATTACCACCAGCTCCATGAGAACCTTTTTCTTTCTGGTGAGTGTCCATCAACTATCCATTGTTTTCCTTTCCTTTTTCCTTCCCCACTCCTTCATAGTGTATGCATATATATCATATTATGATACCTTTTTGATAGTATTTATCTTTGATTGAAGTGAACTTTTCCTGGACCAGCTATTTGCCAGAAATTTGGGAGGGGAGGGTCAGGGCTATGTATTAGGATAACAAAAATTCTTATTTCAGAATTCTTATGTGTATACATGCATGTGTGTGTGTGTGTGTGTGAGAGAGAGAGAGAGAGAGAGAGAGAAAGAGAGAGAGAAAGAGAGAGAGAGAGAGAGGGAGAGAGAGAGGGAGAGAGGGAGAGAGAGAGAGAGAGAGAGAGGGAGAGAGAGAGAGCACCTTTTTTTTTTTTTTTTTTTTGAGAAGGAGTCTTGTTCTGTCACCAAGGCTGGAGTGCAGTGGTATGATCACGGCCCACTGCAACCTCTCCCTCCTGGGTTCAAGTGATTCTCATGCCTCAGTCTCCCAGGTAGCTGAGATTACAGGCATGCATCACCACATCTGGTTAATTTTTGTATTTTTTAATAGGGTCAGGGTTCGCCATGTTGGCCAGGCTGGTCTCGAACTCCTGGCCTCAAGTGATCCTCCTCGGCCTCCCAGAGTGCTAAGATTATAGGTGTGAGCCACCGCACCTGCCGGACCACTCTTCCTTGCCAACTGGCCACTTCTTACATCTATGGCTTGTTTGGGTGATTTCCTCATTCAGTTCTGCCTACTGAGCTTCATCTTTCTGCTAGATGAGGCCCAGAGATATGTCTGCAGTCAGACTACATGCTCATTCCAGTGGCTACAAACAAGAGGCTGCTGGTTTGGGCCTTCGAGATAGTCCTACTGTTTCCCCTCAGCTTTGTCTGACATTGCAGCTGAAGCAGGCTTTCTCAGTCTCTCCACATTCCTGTTTGATTTTCACAGCCATTGCCACCCCTTTCTCATACATTGTGATTTGGGGTAACCTGTTTTCCCAGTTTCATCAAAAAATAAATTCATGCCTCTCTTTCTCATCTCTCTATTTTCTTTTGAGTGATTCTGAGAGGGAAGTGGTGGAAAGGTCGTAGAATGGCACTTTAGCCTGGATGTCAGCATCATGGTAATTCAAGAAAAAGGGAGAACTACAAAGCACCGTGAACTTCATTCTACCACCGCGTATCAGCTTACCTCTGACCTCGCAGACTACCCTTGATAACCAGCTCTGTGGCCCAGCTCAGTGACACTTTTCACTTTCTCCATTGGATCCTGCCAAATACAGATAATACAACACAGGCAATTTCCTAAATAACAAATAAAAGTGATCATCCAGCTGAAGTTTATTATGCTGAATAATACACAGAAAGGAATTCATTGCCTGACTCTTGGAAATCTGTTGAAGGGCACACAAACTGTCACACCATTGGGAGTATTGAAGGAGGTGGTTTTTTATTTATTTCCCTAAAACTGAGCCCACCTTTTACAGCAAAACCTTATTTTCAATTCATTTTATGAATCAGAGATCTGGATTCAAATTCAAGTTCTAGAATCCTTAACTATGCAATCGTGAATAAATCACCGCATTCTTCTCAAGTACAAAACAAGGACAAGGACAACTACACAGGCATATATGTATACGTAGATACATGCATATGTGTGTATACATATAACTACATTCATACATAAAATAGTTATTAGGATTAAATTTTTAAAAATACGTATTTTAGAGAATGTAAACTCAATGAAGGCTGAATTCATTTATCTGGCTATTTCCTTCACTACTATATTCCTAGCACCTAGCATAGTATAATACTTGACAAAAGCAGGCACTCCATAAAAAAATTAACAATTTATTGAATATGTAAAATACTTACATGTGACAGAGATTCAGTAAATCCAGCAACAAGAGCATCTTCAACATGGGCTTTTGGAAACACAGACTTGGATTTGAATCCCAGCTTTCCCACTTGCCGGTACCAGCAAGGGAAGGGAACAAGCAGTGACACAGCATTCTCTGGTTCATCATCTTTGAAAGAGCAGGATGTCAACACCTGGTCCTGCCTTGGGGGTCAGTTAACATCTTCCTCTCAACAGCCCCGCTTGCTTATCTAATGGGTACTAAAAAGGAAAGCAGTCAAGATACGGTTTCACTGTAGTTCATTTGTGGACAAAAGAGTGACTAGCAATAGGACCATTATTTGGCCACAGATATTCTTTGATCCAACAGTAAAAATTAGGTTAGAACAATGGGCCCCATACCCAGGAAATAGCTCCCAAGCACTCAGAGTGCTTGGAAGTGAGTGGTACAGCCAGGAGAAACCACAGTCCCAGGTCTTTGTAAGCAATAGAAAAAAAAGAGTAAAGATGTGTCCTAACCACCAGTCCATTTTCTTCTATTAAAAGTTAACAAGAATTTTTTATCAGAGACTAGAACATCTGGTGTGTCATGGCTATGACTTTTGAGAACAAAGCAAACATTGTTTTCAATCCCAGATTTTCACAAGTCCAAGAGTTTGAACCCATGAAAAATTGCTCTTAAAACAAGAATGAGACCAAAATGACTTTTAATACAAAATCCAAATATCACCACTTCTGAACTGAGCAAGAGCAGAATAGTTGCATAGCACTCTAAGTGTCCCAAAGATTAGGGTTACATAAATTTGAAATATTATGGTCATTAAATATAAATAATAATACTTGTTGATAATAATGATAATGACTAATACAGTGGAAATGCTAAACTTCCACTCTTTGCACTGTGGAGTAGCAGAATGAGTGTGAGCATTGGAAACCAACAGACATGAGTTCAAATCCTATCTCCATCCCTCACTATAATTACTTTACAAGCTGCAATTTCACCATCTGTAAAAATGGTGATAAGAAGACCTTTATGCCAAGAGTCTTTGCCTGCCAAGATTGTTGTGATGTTTAAATACAATAATGAATGTCATAGTGGCAGACACAGTAAGTGTTCAGCTCTATATGTTTGTTTCTTTCCCCTTAGCCTGGGATAAAAAATTAACATGTGTTTATCTGGAAAGCCACCCATCGCTCTTTCCTTACAACTCCTCCCTGGCAGCACAGAAAAGAGGATTATTAATTAGCCAGTGTTTGTGAAACACTTAGAAGATGAAAGTGCTGAGTGCCGAACAGCACCATTTACATCACAATACATGGGCTGGCTGCTCCTTCAAGTGGATCCACTTACAATGTAAGGCAGGCCTAATGGATGTGTTCCTGTCATTCAAAAATCAATGTGGGAGTCTCTGGAAAAGGCATGTGTCTGCCTGCTGTGCTATAGCCAGTCCAATGCAGTAGGCAGACAATCTTGAAGAGGCAATAGATGGATAATGCTCTAACACAGTGATCCTTAACTTTTATGGCACCAGGGACCAGTTTTGTGGAAGGCAATTTTTCCACGGACCAGAAGAGGGGGATGGTTTTGGATGATTGAAGTGCATTACACTTATTGTGCACTTTATTTCTATTATTACATTGTATTAATAATATGTGATGAAATAATTATAAAACTCACCATAATATAGAATCAGTGGAAGCCCTGAGCTTGTTTCCCTGCAACTAGATGGTCCCATCTGGGGGTGATGGAGACAGACACAGATCATCAGGCATTAGATTCTCATAAGGAACACCCAACAGAGATCCCTCACATATGCAGTTCCAATAGGGTTTGTGCTCCTATGAGAATCTAATACTGTCGCTGACCTGACAGGATACGGAGCTCAGGCAGTAATGCAAGAGATGGGAGTGGCTGTAGATACAGATGAAGCTTTACTCGCTCACCTGCCGCTCACCTCCAGCTGTGTGGCCCTGTTCCTAACAGGCCATGGATTGGTACCAGCCCATGGCCTAGGGATTGGGGACCCCTGCTCTAATAGCCATGGTAATGAGAAACCAGAAAGGAGGTCAAAATTGTATCTAATTGAAACCTACAAATAGCCCTAAATTCCCTTTAGCAACAACAAGGGTATCTGGTGGATTTTGTTTTCACATTGTCTCCTTTCCCTGGCAGATCTTAGGAGAAGAAAATCAATTCTACATAAATGGCAAAAGCAGTGTTCCCCAAGCTGGGGCTGACAGACCCCTAGGAAAAAAGCATTATGTCCTAGTGGAGGAGCTGGAAGTTGTAGATCTCCAACACCGATTTCCAGTATTTGGTTCTCCACTGCTCCTGATCACATGGGAAGATTACACTTTCCCCTGTTGTTTCAGCAAAACATCATCCATCACTGTAAATTAGTGTTGTTAATATTGAACTTATTGATTTTGTGGTTTTCATGGTTTTTACTTTGTGAATTATTTTTATTAAAACAAACATATATAAAAGCATTTGAATGGAATCTTAAATTTTAGCTTTGTGCAAATTTTAATACAATTCCAAATAATTTACAAATAATTTAAGAAACACCACAGCCTTTTAAAGTTTAAAAATTTTTTTTCTTAATCCTAAATTCTTAATTTGGAAATATATTACTCAGATTTGAGGATCACTGAACTATGAGAATGAGAAAAGGGAGGAAAAGTCTTAGTAATCGACAAATTGGGTCATCATTCCTTGAATACTCAAGACTTGGCTGCATGTTGATTCCTGTGTTCTGTCTTCTGCACCAATAGAAGAAACCTCCATGTATTATTCCAGTATTTTACTTTTACCTCTGAATTATGTTCATATCCACAAATCCCAGCCAAGGGCCTATTGAATAATTGTCCCCACATGTAACATTTTCCTGGTGATGTTTTCCTTTCCTTGATCCTATGAAATATAGAAATGTGTTTCTAATTATTAGCAGAACCACCTGGTAACTGCACCATATCATCTCAATAATATGACTTATTTAGTATACAGTTTGGTAGAACTCAGTCATGTTTGACGCCATCCAAGAAAAATTAGTTAGGACAATAACCTCACATAACACAGGCTCACCTGTAACCAAGGTGATCATATTTTGTTAGCCAATAGTAAGAAATTATGACTTGACAAGTATAAATATATCTGAAATTGGAGTTGTCCTGGAAAAATCCAGGACATACAGATTTCTATGGCATAAGGCACAAAAATCACCTATGAAGTGATGCTGTGGTGTCTTCGTTTTCTTAAGAACTTAAAGCAACTGGTTCTTCTATCCATTGTCCTTACACCTGTACGTGTGGGCGGAGGCCCAAGAATCTATCACTTCCTTGAATTCACTGAGTGTGAAGGAGGTGAGCAAAGAAATTAACCAGCTCTTCTGGGAAACTTACCTCTGCCTTTGCAGGGAAACTGAATAGAAATCTCTTCCTGCATAATAAGGATTTTACAAAACTGACCCCTTCTTTAGACTTGGCAGGGTTGGCATGCTGATGAGGGAAGAGGTTGTCCAGATGCCTAAGAAAATGCTTATATGTCAGGCTAAATTTTTCTTCTATGTTGAATCATGGCCCAAGGACCCCCAAATTTGTAAGCCTGTGCTAATTTGCATCGATAGCTTCCATACTCTTTCTTAATTCTTTGTTTTTATTCTTACTGTTTTAAGTATGAATGTCAGAGAGTGGAAGAAGAGATCAAATGAAGAGAGGGCATGGCATAGATTTGATCTTCCAATAGAGAATAGAAGAAAGGTTTCTTAGTATAGCAGTCCATTCTGGCATGGAACTGAGTACCATGGAAAGTTCAGTTAAGGAATTTTGAGAGACCTTGGGCACAGGAAGGAGCAGTCAAAGAGAAATCAGAAGTAGCACCAAAATTCTAACCTGTAGGACATATTTTGATATTGGGAGTGGACGGGGGCTATAGGTTCATTAGAACACAGGAGATGAGATTGATGGCATCCACCCACAGGAAATGATAGCAGAAAGTGGAACCGCACCTTGAGGTTCATCAGAGTGGCAGAGGAGAAGGCGCCTGTGGCACAGGCAGCAGCTGGAGGAGGTGTGAGGGAGCTAAGAAGATGCAATGAAAAGATGAGGGATAGGCCTGGGAAGGATGATTTCCCCAACATGTTCCAACCTGGTTTCCAAAAACCAGTGACTCCAACAATGGTAACAAAGAAAATGACATAAACTACATAAGTACTAAGAGCCAAGCCAGGTTGGCACACAAAACCAACATAGAATACACAATTTAATAGTTGTAGTCTACATATGAAAGTTGTGCCACCACCATCCCTACCTAATTTGAGAACAGCTCCATCACCCCAAGGTCTTAAATGCCTTTTCCCTTGGATCTATCTTTCCATATTTCTTTAAGAAGTGCCCTTTTTTGGTGTCCTGTCTCAAGCATGGGTGGAAATGCCAGGTGAGCCTGCCTGTTGTGCCAACCTCCATGCAGTAGAGACCTTCACAAGGTATCCTTTCCCCCAGCAAGGCTTAGTCACGTGCACATAATGCTGTATGGGGCTCTTTTAAGCACATAGGGTAGCTTATGTCTGAAGCAGGCAGCTGGGCTGCAATGGAAGGACTTAGAATCAGAAGGGCTACTTTCAAATCTCAGTTGAACTCTTGATTGTGTCAGCTCTTGACCTCTCTGAGACTCCATTCCTTGTTCTTCAAAAATGGGCCAACTTCTCCTTATCTTGTGAGGGTAAGAATGAAATGAGGTGACTCCTATGAACACAAGTAACACAGAGAAGGGATCAACACACATGAGTAGAATTCAATGTTCTTGAACGTAAATGAAGAAATCAAACTTTTTAAAAAAGGGATTGTTTTTCAATTCTCCCACACAGATAAGTAGTAAATCATCAGTAGGCAATTATGGAGAAGTCTTCCCAAAATGAGATTAGGGTGGGGGCAGGGCCAAGATGGCCGACCAGAAGCAACAACGTTCGGAGGCTCCCATTGAAAAAAAAAACATAGTAAGTGTGTGAATCCTTTACCAGCAACCAAGGTATCCATGTTCTCTCCTCAAAATTGACTAGAGGGCTGGTGTCACCCACGGAGAGAAGGAAGAACAGTGTGCTGCAGCGGCACACCTCAGAACCACACAGGGAAGGGGAACCTCCTCCCCGCAGCCAAAGGAGGTGGTGAGTAAGCCTGCTACCCGTGCTACCCAGCCACGGAAACTATGCTTTTGCCATGGACCTGTGCAACCCATGGATCGGAAGATCCCATTTGTGAACCCACGCCACCAGGGCCTAGCATCCTAACTACAGAATGCTTACAGCCTCTCAGCTGGAATCTGCTTAAGCCTAACTGAACTCCCCGGGGGAAGGGCGACCAACATCAGCTATGGCTGCCTGCTGTCTAAGCCGGTTGAGCTCCTTGGGGGAGAGGCAGCAGCCAGCACTGGGACTCACAACTGCCTAACATGCTAAGCTCCCTGGGCAGAGGAAGGGGCAGCACTCATTTCTATAGCTCC